TTTTATTTTTTTGCAGAACCGGGGATTGAACTCAGGCCCTTATGCTTGCCAGGGAAGCGCTTATTCCACTGAGCCATCTCCCCAGCCCCTGGAAATCCCATGTAAACCAGCTATTCCTCTAATGCAAATTTTCCCGGAGGATCTGAAAACATCATATCATAGGGATATATGTGTGCCTATGTTTATAACAGCACAATTTGTGATAGCCAAATCTTGGAATCAACCAAGATGACCATCACCTGAGGAATGGTTGAAAAAGATGTGGTATTTTTACACAATGGAGTATTACTCAGCTATAAAGAATGATAAACTTGAAGGCTTTATATTGAAGTGGATGCCACTTGAAGGTATACTCATAAGTGAAATAAACCAGACACACATGTGTAAATATCATATAGCTTCCCTAGTATAAGAACTCAAAAGAAGAAATACAAATAGAAAGGTATAATACAAGTAAAAGGAAAGCAGGAACTCAAGGACTAACTAATTAAGAGAGGGAAAGAAGAGCTAGGAGAGTGAGATGACCTGGGCCGTGGGATCCTGAACAGACCCAGAGTGCAGGCCTGGCATGTGAGTGAGACCACCCAGGGCCCTTCGGATCCTGAATAGACCAGAGCCCAGGCCCGGTGAGTGAGTGAAACTACTGGGGCTGCGGGATCCTGAACAGACCCAGAGCACAGGCCACGGAGAGTGAGACACCGGGCCCGCGGGATCCTGAACAGGCCCAGAGAGCAGGTCCGGGGAGTGAGTGAGACAACCCGGGGCCCGGTGGGATCCTGAAAAGACCCAGAATACAGGCCCAGAGAGTGGGGGCCGCAGGATCCTGAACGGACCCAGAGCACAGGCCTGGCAAGTGAGTGAGATGACCAAGGGTCTGCAGGATCCAGAATAGACCCAGAGCACATGCCCAGAGAGTGAGACACCGGGTCCATGGCATCCTGAATAGACCCAGACAGAGCGCAGGCCCAGCATGGAACCCTTCAGCAGAACTCCCTGCAAAGAGGCTAGAGGCAAGACCCACCCAGCTGATTCAGGAGCAGAGCATCTTGCCAGAGTGACACAAAGGGTTCAACTCTAAGGACTGCAGCAGAAAGAAGTGGAGCACAGCAGCAGATCCAAACAACACCCACCTGGAGGAATCTGAACTTCATAGATCCGGACCTGGTGCTAAGGTAACAACTCTATCCAAGCTCTGCACCAAAGGTCAGAAGACAGCGGTACACAAAATGAAAAGGGAAGGAACAAAATGCAGTCTCAGGCCCCGAGTCCACCCAGTACAAATGCAGAAGACACTAGCACTGAGAAAACTGGAAATCACATGCCAGATATCTCAGAAATAATAGCATTGACAGTAAAGAATCAACTGCAGAAAGGTATAGAAGAAATCAGATCAGAAATAATTTC